CTTACCAATTTGGTTTGAAACTGTCTCATTGCTATTTGTTTCTCAATAAAATTATGAAAAAAAATCTTTAGCATGCAATCACCAGGCACAGGTGGTAGACAGAGGGAAAGAGCTGACACCAAGGTGCAGAAGAAGGGCAAACAGGAGGGGGTGGCCCGGATGACAGAGGAGTGTCCCTTGAAGATGGTGAACTGTAGCGCTTGTCTTGGGGCTTCTGGTCAACCTCAATGCAAGCCTGCACTCAGTCACGGGCTCACCACTAACCCTTGTTGTCTTCTTCATTTTCCCTCACTGCCCATTTTTCTGTTTCCGTGGTGGGGATGTGCTTGCTCATTTAAAAAGTGAGCAAAAGGCTGCTGTGTGTCAGGCCCCTTGAGCACGGATAGGTGCAGAGGTATTTCATAGGCCTGCTTTTCCTCAGCATTCTGCCCTTTGTGTCCGTGTGGGTCAGGATGTGCTGAGGGGAGCGCTGCCCTCACCTGCTTCCCCAGCATCCTACCTGCTGCCAGCTGTCTTTGCTGGAAGCTCCAGTGGAACTCTCACCTGTGCCGGCTCTGGATCAGAAGGAGGGAAACTGACTGCAGGGACACGGAGCTGGGAGACCTTGCCTCGGACTGAGTAAAGACATCTATGCTGTGGCTCTCCCTGGGCCAAGCCTGGAGGATTGGAACCCAGTAAATAGCTCCTCTTTGCTTGGGAGCAGGGTCTCCAGAGCACTGTAGCTAACTTGCTGGGTCTCTGGGGTGGATTTCTCAGCGGTGCTCATCAGGTAGGTGTGGTGAGGATTCTTTGTGTGACACTTCTGGGAAACAGAAAACAGGATGTTTAGAAGTGCGGCTCTTGTGCTAGTAGCTGTTGAGCGATCGTGACCAGCCAAGCTTCCACCTCCCTTCCCTAGACTCCTCTCAGTGCAGGAAATCAATGAGAAGAGGGGACGAGTGGAGCCCAAGTGAACAGAAAACAATTCATGAAGAGAAACATCTTACCAGTTCGTGAAAGATGTGAAAAACATAATAAGAATAAAAGAAAATAGTTAAATCTCTACAAAATATAAGAATTTTACTAACTCTCTACTTTGGAATATGCATGCGCACCTCAAATGTTATCCCCTACAGTATCACAAAATGAATAGTGATGATTGAACATTTGAATTCATAAAAAATTAAAATATTTAAAACAAGTGTACATGTAAAACATTATGTAAATATACTTTCTTTCTACCATATGTATGTAAAATACTTACACATAATTATTTTTTGGATCTGCTTGTGCCCTGCCCCACCTTCTGAGAAGTTAGGCAGATGCTGAGCAGTTATGGAGCCCTGCTAAATCCTGCCCTGTGGACCACCACCAAGGAGGAATTGCTGATCTGGTGGCACCCTGTCCCATCTTCTGAAGGCTTAGAAAGATACACGTATCCATGGGGTCTGGCTGAATCATTCCCCATGAGCCACCAGGAAGCATGGTGGATTTGCTGGTGCCCTGCCCCATAGTCTGAGAACTTGGGTGGATACTGGGCAGCTGAGATGTCCTTGTAAGTCAGGGCCACACCCACCACCTGTGCAGAAGCATTGCTGAGCTTCTGCCAGGCTCCTCAACCATTTGCAGGAGCCTTGACGAGTCTTACCGTGTCCCCATAATGTGGTGTGAGTCTTACTGACCTGTGTCTCACCCCTCTCATAACACTTTTCAATTCAGGTGATCATTGGGAGGGTCAAAAAGGCCAAATTAAGGGTGCAAAAGGCAATTTGAGTCTGCCAGGCCACCCAGAAGAAGTGCAGGCGGCAACAGCATAGAAGAAATTGAAAGTCACACATCTGAAAGTTCTGAAATGATAGTAACTGAAGTAAAGAAACTAGTTCATCAGACTATACAAGAAATATGATCAGAAATAATATCTCTGGTCAAAGAAGAAATGACAACAAACATGAAAGATTGCTCAGCATAGATTGTGGGAGACCAATGCTTGGCCTCATACTACAGACTGCTGCATTTGATCTGTTGTCTTGTGACCTTCCCAGAGTTGTTTCTGTTTCCCCTCTGAGCCATTTCCCAGAAGACACATGCCTGATCTCCACCCTAGAGACCACCCCCCAGTACCTAGCGACCTGAAGACGTATAATCACTCCTCCCTCTTTTTCCCCCCTGCTTCCTATAAATTCTCTGAGACTTCCTTGAATAAATGGGGCTTGATCAGAACCTTTGTCTTGCCTCCATTTCTCATGTCTCCTGTCCTTATTTCATCCCCACTCCCCTTCCAGGGTCCTCATTGACTAACCTGCGGGTCAGGTCAATAGATAAAGAAGACATGGATAAAAAATAGAGGAGGATAGAAAAATGTTTGAAATATTGAATGAACAATACAAGAAGGGAT